GTCTGCCAGTGAGGTTATCGTTGCGCTGCGTTTTTAGATTTTGTCGCCAACTCCATCGGGGGTTGGTGGACGATGGGCGGAGGGAGGTTAGGGGGTGGGGGTGGAGTAGGGAGGAGGGGGGAGGATCGTAGTGCAACTTAGCAGGGCGGTGCAGCAGTCAGCGCGAGTTTGCCGTGATTCGTTGCTCGGTGCCAGCAATGAGGAAAATCTTGGCGCGTCGTCTGCCCCCCCATATCATCCTCCCCCCACTCCCCCCCGCGAGAGGCTACGTGGATGCATTGCCACATCTTCTGGCCCCCATCCACCCGTGCATAGGATTTTGGCTCAAGCATTTCGCCTCGACCCTTTTTGCAGCTGCGCTCAGTGCCAGCATATATCGGACACAATGCCAGGCGCGTTGCCCAAGTGCTCCAGTTGCGGGCAGGAGTGTCCAGAGGGGCACAAGGGCCGCTGCAGGAGGTGCAACACCATGAACACCAGGGTCCACCGCGTGCTGGAGGGCGATGACGCCAGCAAGTTAGCGTTCTCAGCGAAGGTCGTCGACAAGGCCGGCTTCTTCGAGCGCGCCAAGAACGTCTTCGGGGAGGAGCTGAGGTCCATGATCATGTCGGAGATCGAGGAGAAGTCCGAGAGCTTCACCGAGGTGGAGCTGCAGGGGACGGGGAGCTTCCTCGACGAGGAGGACATGAGGGACAAGTACAAGAACAAGCCGAAGCGCCTGCAGGGCATCTTGGATCGCGCGAGGCGCTTCACGGACCCGATTTCGGGCGTGGAGCTCATCGAGGACATGGAGTACAAGAGCCTGTCGAGGACAGGGCAGAGGGACACGTCCTCGGTGAAGCGCACGGCCAACAGCGAGGAGCAGTACAAGCCGCCGAAGAAGAAGAAGGCCGAGCAGCCGTCAGCCGCCGACGGTTCGACCGACCAGCCCGAGCCCTTGACTGATGCGGTCAAGAAGCACATCACCGCGGCGACGGGTGTCATCGAGAAGGCAGTGGAGAAGCTCGGGAACTCGCAGTGCGGCATCCTGGATGAGCAGAAGCCCAACTTCTACGAGTACGTCCCGCAGTACGTCATCAACAGGAACGCCTCCGTGGTCGCCAGGGCCCAGGCGCTCGTGACGCTCATCGGCCTGGCCTTGGAGGCCGAACAGATCGTGAACCCAAAGGGTGTCAAAAGCCATATCGCGGAGCTGAAGTCGGAGCTGCAGGAGACCACGCGCATCACGAAGCTGCAGGTGACCGAGGCCAAGAAGTTGGTCGAGGAGCCTGAGGAGCCCGAGGCTTGAGGCCGCAGGCGGAGCTGCAGGAGCCAGCAGCGCGAGGTCGCACGACCTCGCCCGAGCCCCGTGGTGCACCGAGACGGCGGTGCAAGCGCACTGTGTTTAGTGCGATTCCCATGCGCCGTTGCGCGCTTTCACGTGGAGCCGACCCCCGCGGGCCTGTGGTGGATCATTGCCCGCGCGCGTTCAAAGGGGAAAAACAGTCATCACCACCAACGCCACCAACAACATCATGATCATCACAATCAAAATGAACATCACCAGCATCATAAGCTCTCAAAGGTCAGCATCAGCAACATCATAGCCCGCACCAGCATCAACACCAACAACCTCATCATCAACATCATTATCATCAACTTCAGCATCAAAGGAAAGCAATTAACATCAACATCATTAACATCATCATCGACATCATTAACATCATTAACACCATCATCGGCACCATTATCATTTCTCGGGGGGCAAACAAAGGAAGCAATTAACATGAAACTGGCGTGCCCTCGCCCCCCCCCCCTCCCTCCTCGGTCAACCCCATCTGCCCTCCTCCGCCGTTTCAGTTCGAGGCTATGGAGAGATCGGAGCCGCTCCCCGAAGTAGAGGCCGAATTCCGAGATGATATCTCTAGCTCCTCAAGCACTGCCTCTTTTATGGCCCGCACGGGGTGCGTAATTAGGTACCACAGGAGGTTAGAGACATTTGTGTTGCAATGGTGCACTAAGCATAGATTGACTAAGTTCCGACCGTTGTCGCATCGCGAGCTGCAGAGAGTCGAAATCCCAACCCCCTCTGCCATGCCTAACAATTTGGTCTGCCCGACCGTTCGCGCCCGATGGGATGAGATATACCAGCACATAGAGCCGCACGTCGAGGAGGCGATCGCGAATTTCCACAAGTGGGTCATGACCTCGAGCCCCGAGGGTTGGCAACCGTTCAAGGATTGACCCTAATTGCCCGAAGCCTTCGAGGGGGTGGGAGGGGAGGATAGACCGAGGGCGGGAGGAGGGGAGGGTGGGGGGAGGGCAACGAAAAATGACCCCCCTGAGGAGGCCTTGCAGCGAACGGCACGCGGATTGGCTGAGATCAGCGTGGGAAGGCCGACTGCGGCCGACTATGAGGACACGGGGGTGGAGGGAGGAGGGAGGAGGAAGGAGGGAGGAGGGGGGAGGGAGGAGGGGGGAGGGGGGAGGAAGGGAGGAGGAAGGGAGGAGGAAGGGAGGAGGAAGGGAGGAGGAAGGGAGGAGGAAGGGAGGAGGAAGGGAGGAGGAGGGAGGAGGAAGGGAGGAGGAAAGGAGGGGGATAGGGAGGAGGGAGGGGGAAGGGAGGAGGAGGGAGGAGGAAGGGGGGAGGGAGGAGGAAGGGAGGAGGAAGGGAGGAGGAAGGGAGGAGGAAGGGAGGAGGAAGGGAGGAGGAGGGGAGGAGGAAGGGAGGAGGAAGGGAGGAGGGAGGAGGAAGGGAGGAGGAAGGGAGGAGGATAGGGAGGAGGAGGGAGGAGGGAGGGGGAAGGGAGGTTGAAAGGAGGGGCATGTCGGCCAGGAGATGGATATGTACATGAGCCTGCCGATGAACGAATCTGAGACCGCGCGCGAAGCTGGCTGGCCATGGCCGTTTCCTTTCTCCTAGGGATCGAGAGGCCAGCGTGGAAAACAAACGAGCGAGGGGCTCAGGATGGCCCATGGGGGCCTTATAAGAGGGCCCTGTAGGAAGGGCCAAGAGGGCCACGTGAGATCTTAAGGGGCGCAGGATTGCCCATGGGGGTTTCAGGGGGGCCCCAGGAAGTTTCCCATCGGGACCCAAGAGCCCAAGCGGGCCCCCAGAGGGCCCCATCTGAAGCCTTTGGCACGGAGCTTTCCAGAGGGCTCCTGGAGATGTCAGGAGGGCTTCCCAGGAGGGCTCCAAGAGGGACCCATTTGAATTGGATGGCAGGATATAAGATCTCAGAGGGGCCCTGAGGGAACCCCAAGAGGACCTCATTTGAATTCAGAGTGGGGTTCGGGCTTATTGGAGTGCCCCCCCCATCTTGGCTTGGGAGGGGCCCGAGATGGATCCAGGAGGCCCCGCCCCCCGCGTGACGGAGGTGTGCCGGAATGTGCCGGGGGCCCGCGGGGGCCCACGGCCAACGCAATGCATCGTGTGACGGGGCCCCCCCCCGTGTGACGGAGGTGTGCCGGAGGTGTGCCGGAGTGTGACGGGGACCCACGGGGAGGGGGGCAGGCTTTGGTGGAAATTTATGTTGGGGGGGACCGTCCAGGGGGGGACTTGCGCGGCCACCCCCCGTGGGAGACTTATGTACGGGGGCAAGGGCCGTCTCGGGGCCGTCTGAAAGCTTTCTTGGGCCCTTCCCTATAGGCTTTCATAAGGCCTCAGAAAAGCTCTCTTAAGGGCCCCCTAACCGAACACACATACAAAAAACACGAGGGGAACCACCCCTTATGCTCCACCCGCATACCCACTCCCATAGGCTCCGCCCCCTTGAGTCCACCCCCACCATAGGCTCCACCCCCATCGGCCCCCCCCCCTTGGGCTCCACCCCCATAGGGTCCACCCCCATGGGCCCCACCCCACATGTAGGTCCCACCCCCAGAGGCTCCACCCCCATAGGCTCCAACTGCACAGTTTCCACTCCCATACATGGCTCCACCCCGATAGGCCCCACCCACCCCCATAGGCTACCCTCCCTATAGGGTCCACCCCCATGGGCTCCACCCCCCTGCATCCACCCCCTATCTCATAAGCCGCACCCCCATATAGGCCCCACCCCCACAGGCCCCACCCCCATGGGCTCCATCCCCATGGGCTCCCACCCCCATAGGCCCCACACCCATATACCCCACCCCCATAGGCCCTACCCCCATAAGCCCCACCCCCATGCATGGGCTCCACCCCAAAGCCAGAGGCTCCACCCCAGACCCCAGAGGCTCCACCCCTTTCCACCCTGGTATTTTCCATAGGCTCCACCCCCATAAGCCACCCCCCCTTCCCCATAGGCTCCACCACTTTCCATCCACCCCCATAGGCCCCACCCCCTCAGGCCACGCCCCCATAGGCCCCACCCCCATAGGCCCCACCCCCATTTGGGCTCCAACCCCATTTGGGCCCCACCCCCATGGGCTCACCCCCATAGGCTCCACCCCCACAGGGTCCACCCCCATAGGCTCCATTCGGCCCCGCCCCCATAGGCTCCACCCCCGTGAGCTCCAACCCCAAAGTTTCCACCCCCATAGCCTCCACGAGGATTGCAAAACAAAAAAAAAAACAATGGGCTCCATCCCCATAGGCCCCACCATCCATGTATACGTCCCACCCCCATCAGCACCGCCCCCATAGCTTCCACCCCCATGGCCATGTAGGCTCCAATCCCACGGGCCCCCCCCCACATATGGCCCCACCCCCATATTCCCACCCCCATGGGCTCCAGCCCCATGGACTCCAGGATCCCATATAGGCTCCACCCCCATGGGCTCCACCCCCATATAGACCCCACCCCCTTATATGCCCCACCCACGGAGGCTCCAGCGCCCCCCCCAGGTAAGCTCCACCTGTTTGGGGCCGTCGTTGGGCCATCGTCAGCGTGGAGCTGGCCCCCCTTGGCCTTCAGGGGAATTCTTATTCCGACGGGGCCGTTATTGGCCCCGTCGTCACTCTGCTACCTCCTCAATCCGAGCTAGCCGTTTTGGCTCAAGGCATCGGCGCCTAACGCGCGCGCAGACCAGGGCTCATCATGGAGGCCGCTCGGGGCGTGGAGGCCCAGGTGCAGGCCGCGCGCCCCAGCTTCTGCATGCGGGTCCGTGTCCCCGAGGAGGACCTGCTGAGGGAGTACGACTACGTGACGCGCCTGCCAGTGCTGGTCCAGGTTCGCAAAAAGTACAAGCGCACCGAGGAGCAGCCCAGCGAACGACCAGAAGCAGGTGACTGAGCATCCCAGCGCGAAAGAGCAGCACGAGCAGCCCAGCGCGAAAGAGCAGGAGCAGCCCAGCGCGAAAGAGCAGCACGGGCAGGAGGGGCAGCCCAGCGCGAAAGAGCAGCACGAGCCGAAGGAGCAGGTGAAGTTGATGGACGTCATCGAGTCCCTCAATGGTCCGACGACCGCCTACCCGACGGTGCGCAAACTAGAGTACAGGGAGCCCGCCGAGCAGGTGCTGGGGGCCGACCTCGACACCGTCGACGTGGCGACGCAGCTGCAGGACAAGACGGAGAGGAAGACCTCAGCTCTGCCGAGGGCCCCGACACCGAGCACGTTGGCAGTGGACGACTACTTGGCGAACATCCACGCGGCGATCGGCATGCCTGCCCCGTCGACGTTGCCGAAGCACGACAAGACGGAGATCGTGGACCTGCTCGATGGCGACACGTTCGAGACCTCCATCTTCGACGCGCTGGCAGCCGAGCAGAGCAGCCAGCCGCCGCTTGAGTTTTCGCCGCCGCCCGACTCGCAGCCTCCAGCTGACTTGGACCCCTACGAGTGCGAGTCGTCGCAGTGCCTGTCGCGCTAGGCGGCGCGGTCGGGACGATGACTTGGACGGCGAGGAACGGCATGCAAGGAGGATGAGGGGCAGGATTGAGGGGGCGCGGATAGGGGAGATCATCTTCGAAAGTTTAGTGCGATTTCTGTGCGCCGTGTGTATATCACTCTTTGATGCGGCGCCGTTCCCCGCGGGCCTGTGGTGATTCATTGCCCGCAAACTGCAAGCTTGATAAATGGAAACAATCACCATCCTAACCCACTTAGTCCTCAACGTCATTATGGCAATCATAGCCATCACCGACGTCAGCACCAACATCATCAGCACCACCACAACCAGTACTAACTCACATTCGGTTTCGTCAGACCCGCTCGCATTCAGACGAACTCCTTTCCAGCCGCACTCGCATTCAGACTCGCTCCTTTCTACGTTCAGGTCTGTCAGACCCACTCGCGTCAGGCCCATTCGCATTCAGACCCGCTCGCATTACGACCCACTCGCATTCAGACCCACTCGCATTCAGACCCACTCGCATTCAGACTCACTCCTTAGGACTCGTGCAGGTGCCATTTCCGTAGCCGTCTAGGCCCCAGTGGAGAGGCCACCCTTTAGCATATCGTTCCACATAGTTTCCTTCGCGCTTATGGCTGGCAGGAAGAGGAAGTTCGACCAAACGCTGCAGACATGTGCCGCTGCGGCGGCTTCGAGCGGGTGCGCTGCGCAGACGATGTTGCAGGCCATGTCAGAGCAGACCGCGTCCGATGCGAGGAGAGTGCAATGGGCGCGCAAGCTATCCCACCGACTGCTGCACTCCATTCGGAACACAGGCACCCCGTACGGCAACGTGGCCCTTGTATCGTCGATGGCAGGCCCAAAGGGCACTCTTGAATTTGATCACGTGTGTCCAGCTGCACTCTTGTACCATTTGTGTTCTGCCTCGGCAGGCTTTTTCAATTTCCTTCGCGGGGTCGCAAGTTCCGTCGCCGACGGGTTTTTGGACGTCGTGATGTACCTGGACAAGGCTACGCCAGGCAACGAGAGGCGCCCTGATGATGGAAGGTCGTGCCAGTGCTTGTATTTCACGTTCCTGCAGTACCCCGATTGGTTTAGAAAAGGTGACTTTGCTTGGATGCCGTTTGCATACGTGAGAGTGTCTGACCAAAAAAGCTCAGGCGTGACGGACTCACAGCTCGTTCGGTTCATGACCCGATCGTTTCTTGTGTCGTTGAACTGCGTTGGCTTGCAGTCACAGGGGGAGTTCATGCAATTTCGTGCTCGTCCCTCAGTGCTCGTCGCCGACTGGGAACAGCATGTGCGGGCCTTCAACCACATGGGTTTCAACGGTAGCGTGCCCTGCGGATGGTGCCGCAATGTGCTGGGGCGGTGCCCCCCCTTTCAGCACGCCTACCTAGTCCACGTGGACAGCGCAGAGTACGACCGCATGGACCCGCACACGCCCGAGAGCAAGCACGAGCTGGCCAGGGACGTGCAGGCGTGCGCGCAGGGCGGAGGAAACCTCGCGCGCGTGCAACAGTCCACAGGCATCAAGTGGGACCCTGAAGGCGTGCTGTGGGACGACCTCGTGAGGTCCACGCTGCGCCCGCCCTGGTGCGAATATCCAGACTGGATGCACGTGTATGTGGCGTCAGGGGGAGTGGCGCAGTACGAGGTCAACGGGCTCGTGAACTTGATATGCGGCCACGGCATTACCAAGCATGACATAGATGCATGGTGTAGCCAAGTCACTGCGCCGAGAAACTCGAAGAGCTTAGGGCGGAAATTTTTCGCGGACCGCATCGTCGCGGCTGCCTGGTAAGCACCTGGAAGGCTTTGCAGCGGAGGCGCTTTCAGCTGTTGTAGTTTTGGGGCTGTTCATTGATATGGTTGTGGCGCCGCAAAACATCCCAGGGCTGCAGCGAGCATTGGACTGTTTCGCATTGCTTCGGGTTATATTGGCTATATTCCAGAGGGGCTGCCTTGCCGACATACCGACACTGCAGGGCGCCATGCGGACTCACCACGAACTGTTCGCGAGGCTGTATCCGATGCCTGTGAAAAGGAAGATGCACCAGCAGAAACACTTGCCTGAGTTTCGGGTTCGGTGGAAAGTTCTCCTGTCTTGCTTTGGCCCTGAACGTCACCACAAGCTGATGAAGCGCGTGCACGGCTACGCTGTTAACCATAGTCCGAAAACAGTTCTCGCATGTGATTTGCAGAAGTTGGTGAAAGGATTGGGGAGGGCCGACACGGTGGAGCCATACAGTCTGCGTGGGTGCGTCCATGCATGCAACGTGACTTTCGCGACTTCAGACCAGCGCCATATCCAGTGCACAGCCTGGGCACTCCTTTTGAATTCACCGACGGGGCAACTCGCGAAGGGAGACCTCCTGCAATGGCGCGAGAATTGGCTTATGCGCGTCGGGTTTGCTTTAAGCTTCGCGCGCGCAGATGGAGCCCGCCCCGAATACGTTGCCATCGCGCGACCCTGCAGGGCGCTCAGCCCGTCGACTTGGGCGAGGCAAGGCGCCGAGGTGTGCGTCGTGCGGTCGCCAGCAATTGTAGGGAACGTGTTTTTTTGCAGACGTTGGTGGCTTGATCACGCCTGCGTTGTTGCACGACCCCTAGCCTAGCCACGTGCAGCGAAACAAATGTAAACACGCATCGCATCAAACAACCAACATCAAACATCAAACAATAAAGCACTTGTCACTTGCATCAAACATCAAACATCAAACATCAAACAATCAAAAAATACAGCAAGAAACCAACAACGCAATAAAACCATAAAGCAATGACATCGAACATCAAACATAAGATGTCAATCAAACATCAAACACGCATCGCATCAAACATCAAACGTCAAACAGTAAGCAATAACATATCAAACATCAAACATCAAACTCCACTCACTGCCGTCTTTCATCGCCGCCATGCCGCAGCCGTTTCCGAGTCCGAATGCATATTCGCGGGGCTCCCCGCTTTCTCGCCCCAATACGGTACGTGAACTCTCGTGGCGAGTCCATTCCTTTGTTGCGGCCGCGCATCACCGACCCCATCTTGCTGCAGCCGCGCAGCGCTGCCGCCAGGCCGCCTTGGCTGAGGCCGCGCGGCGGCGGCGACGGCGACGCTGAGGTAGGGCTTGCCGACCAGGCCGCGTCGGAGGAGCTCGACATCCAGCAGGTTGCGCTCGATTTTTGCAGGGGCATCAGGCAGGCCGGCTCGGGGGAGCTCGCCGACCAGGCTGCCTCGGACGCTGCAGCCAACCAGGACGCGCTCGCCGACCAGGACAAGGCCGCCTCCGACGCTGCAGCCAACCAGAACAGGCTCGCCGACCAGGCCGCTACGGGGGAGCTCGCCGACAAGGCCGCCTCGGACAAGCCCCCCAACCAGGACGTGCTCGCCGACCAGGCCGCTACGGGGGAGCTCGCCGACAAGGCCGCCTCGGACGGCGCAGCCGTCACCGACCAGGCCGCTGCGGGGGAGCTCGCAGACCAGGCCGCCTCGGACGGCAGCCAGGACGTGCTCGCCGACCAGGCCGCTAAGGGGCTCGCCGACCAGGCCGCCTCGGACGGCGCAGCCAACCAGGACGCGCTCGCCGAGGCCGCGGAGGAGCTCGACGACAAGTCGGTCTGCGACGGCAGCACGACCGAGTGCGACGAGAGCGAAGATCACCGCCCAAAGCGACGCCGCACTCTGGACGAGCGGATGAGCGATTTACGCAATTTTGCCCGCAGGCTGCACAGGCATAGAGATGTGTTGTTTTCGCGGCAGTCGGGCGGTGGCCCCAGCGCGCAGTAGGCGGTGGCTCCGACAAGAAACACGGCCTGCTCGAAAAAAAACATCATCACTTTCACCAGCATCAGCATCATTACGCATCACCAACACGAACAACTAGAATGTACATCACCAACTACCAATCGCCACCAATCAACATCACTAACATCACTAAGCCACCGATTTAACATCAATATCACCACAAACCAACATCACCATCATTAACATCAACATCATCAACATCATCACCATCAACATCAACATCATTAACATCATCAACATCTTCATCATCACCACTACCATCACAATCAACGCGATAACAACGTTCTTGTATATATTCCAGCGGCGCTGCCGCGCGATTCCGCCGCCCCGCTCGGGAGGCAGAGAGGCGGCACGGGCAGCGACCTGGCGAAACCTCGGCGGACCCACCCGAGGCGGCAGCGAGGCGACACGTGCAACAGCGTGGCGAATCCTCCGCAGACCCACCCAGCGCACGAGGCGGCAACGAGGCGGCGCGGACGGCAACGCGTCGAAACCTCGGCGGACCCGCCCAGCGCACGCGGCGGCAATGCTAGGTTCACAATAACCGCGTGCAACGTGATATAGGCAACATACAGCCCGCGTAACTTTATAATGCGACCCGAACGGCCCCCAACACTTCCTGCACGAACTAGAAGCCATGAGTTTTGCGAAGGCGGTCATATGAGCAATGTTACGGCCAACATGAGTTTTCATAGGTAACCTGTAAGTACGTATGACAGATATGCTGTGCATTTTGTAAAGACCCGAGATCGCCCATACGTTGTTTTCATGCGTGTTCCGTAAGTGACAACATAAATTTCATAAGTGATTATAAGTGTTTCATAAGTTTTTGATAAGTTTTAGAAGTGTTCATAAGTTTTCGATGAAACCTTATGTTGGCCTTAACATACCACTTGTGATCGCCTTGTGGAACGTATAACTTTTAGTTTGCGTTATACGGTTTTTAGACCTTATGGGCCGCCTTATAAAGTTATTTGTGTTATAAACTGGTTAACAAGTTGTACATTGGTTATAAGTTGGTTGTGTAACGCCGCCTAACCACTTATAAGGCACCACAACCGAAAAAGACATGGTAGTAGGGGCCACGAGGCCAACGTCGCGTCTCCCGCCCGTCGCGCGGCAGTGTTCGAGGCACTAGACTTGGACATTGCGCCTAGGCTCATCCTGTTCGACTCTCGGTCAATGCGGCGATGCGCTCGTCGGGTGCTCGGCGC